GAAGGCATGGAAGCTGGAGCCATCTAGCTCAAGATTCTCCACCTAGCTGCCTTGGGGCAGGAGCTGGTGGTGGTAGCTGGAGCTGGTCTCCCTGGCAGGGAGTTACGCAGTGAGGACATCAGACCTGGGAGTCCTCTGAATACATCTTGCAACTACCCCACATCAGAAGCCTCTCGGGGGAGGCACTGAGGGCAGCCCCAGGTAGGCAGGATTTGGGGATCTGTTCACAGGCCCCACTCCTGGAGGAGAAAGGGGCCCAACAGGAAGGGGGAGGAGTAGAATGAGGGGAAAAAACAGGCCACTCCTCTCCAGGGTGGCATCCTCAGGCCACAGGTTGGCCAGAGCTAAGAGAACAGAAGAGCACTGACTGGATTTGAGACTGGAGTTTTCATCTGGACCAGACTGGCCTGGACTTTTTAATGCACCCAGAAATGACCAGAAATCATTAAGATCTGTACAAGGTATCATCACGGACAGGAAAAGGAGATTAATCAGAGCACATTTAAAGGAAACACATGGAAAAAAACCACCGAATGATTTCAAGTTGGTACTTCACTGAGTTCAGACTGTTCAAAACACTAGTTATGCAGCTGTCTTGAAACCCCTATGGGAGATTCTGCCTGAGAAGGGAGTATGCCAAGAGCTACTGGAGCTGCAAGATGCGGAGAGGGAACAACCTGGGTCCCAGGGACAGGGGTTGAGCCCCTGCATCAAGCCATACCTGAAGGTAGATCTGCCCTCTGGAGTTTTCAGTTATAGGGGTCAGTAAGCTCCCTGAGCCAATCTGGACTGGATTTTCTATCACTGTCCACAGAAGAGTCTGAACTGATGCCACACACACACATATCTGTTCTCTTTCTTGGAGGGAGGGATGTAGCTGTTGTCAGATTCTCATGGTGCATTATTATGAAAGAAATGGCTTGAGGAGAAGAAACTCTAGACCTCAAATTAAGCAATCTCATTGACAAATACAAGGGAAGGCCATCTAATGAGGCCTGGGGATGCTCTACAGGATGTCACAGAAGAGCTAGACCAGAACACCCTCATGCGTAGGGCTGGAGCCCCAGAGTCTGGCAGTAACTGGCACTCAAGAAATATTTGTTGAATGGAAACCAGCAGGAAAATTGTAACAAGTCATACTTTACATGCAAATTTTCAGGAATATTTTCAGGAAAATATCTAATGTGTGAACATCTAATCTGCATTTCCATGTCCTGACAGATGGCCCATATTAACAGAGCTCTGATTATAGTAAAAAAAGAAAAAAATTTAAAAAATAAAAGAAGGAAAGAAAGGAAAGAAAAAAAGAAAACCCACCAATATTCATTGAGTGGGTGTGCCAAGCAGCGTTATTGTGACTACCAAAATGTACATTTTAAAAAGACAGCTATAGATGCTCCCATTTTTCAGAGACTGTTACCACCAGCTGTTACATACAGAAAGAAAATCACCTTGGGGGCTTGCCTGGCTTAGGAGAGCTTTGGCTCCTGCTTTTTTTCTTAGAAGAGGGATCTGAGCCCATGAGAGTCTAAGGTTGTCTTAAGGTGGAACCAGGGACCACCTGCATCAGAATCATTGGAAACATTTATTTAAAATGTGGTTCAGGTGGTGGAGGTTGCTGTGAGCCAGAATTGTATCGCTGCACTCCAGCGTGGACAATAGAGTGAAACTCAAAAAAAAAATCTCAAAAAAATAAAAACAAAATAAAACAAAATGCAGGTTCCTGGGCCCCAACCCAGACTTATGGAATCAGAACCCCTGAGGTCAGGACTGTGGAACATGCATTCTAAGCAGTCTTCCCATATGGTTTTATGCACATGAAACTTTGAAAAATTTGACCTGCTATAATCTGTTTGTTTGTCCGAGGGGTCTCAGTGCCTTGCAACATTCTCTGTACAGCCCCATAATTACATGAGGTCCTTTGCGTGTGTGTGTGTGTGTGTGTGTGTGTGTGTGTCCAAGTTTTGCTCTTATTGCCCAGGTTGGAGTGCAATGGTGTGCTCTTTGCTCACTGCAACCTCTGCCTCCCGAGTTCAAGCAATTCTCCTGCCTCAGCCTCCCAAGTAGCTGGGATTACAGCCACCACACACAGCTAATTTTGTATTTTTAGTAGAGATGTGGTTTCACTATGTTGGTCAGGCTGGTCTCGAACTCCTGACCTCAGGTGATCCACGGACCTCAGCCTCCCAAAGTGCTGGGATTATAGACATGAGCCACCTCACCCGGCCTAATATGTGGTCCTCTGGGAGGAGAAGCCCTGCTCCCAGGCTCGGGGATTGAAGGAGGCCAGGGTTTGGTAAGACAACACCCTCCATGAGGTCATGGCCAGGTAAGGCAGTGCCAGAGGTAAACGGTGCATGCATGACGGCCTTTGAATGGAAACACTTGCTGTGTCCTCCTGGCAGATCAACATAACTGGATGTGACTATGGTTACAGCTGGTGGGACAAACTCCTATGGCCCCCTGCTTCTCTAAGTGACACCACACATTCTAGACCTGATTATCTGCTGCCTTCTATTGCCTGCAGGCCTGTGGTTGGAAGGGAGACACTTTCATAGTCAATTAAATTCCTGCAAGGTGAGGGTCATAATTTCTGTCTCTTAGAGCTTCTGCCCCATATCCTAGCCTCTGCCATATCTGCTACACTGCTGGGCACTCTTTAGATGCTTCGAGTCCTTAATTTGATGTGCTTTCTGGTTTACTGAGACCAGACTGCTGAGCTTCCCTCTAATGCCTTCCTGGTATAGCATGCTAAGCTTCCTTTGAGACGTCACCTTCCCACATTTTCAGTCATGTGACTTGAACATGATTGACTTAGGGGTGGAGTCTGATTGGTGTAACCCTATCAAGGCTCCCATTCCCTTTGCTGCAAGAGTTGGTTCTAGAATGGGCGTATTCCCGTCAGAGTGACCCTCATGACTCTGGCTGGGAAATTTAAGCCGCAGACCCTCTCTTCTCCATTGGTTACCAGCAAGGAAGTGTGCAGTCCCAGACACTCTTGACAGGCTTCTTGGGGCTTTGAACAGAGAGCATGATGGAGGATGGGGCCAATATAAGAAAGAACAGCCAAGAACTGGGGACACAGAAACGGGCCTGTGCACCAGTTTGAGACCTAGACAAAGATTTGCCTGGAGACATGTCTATTCCTGAGCTGCTCAATTAAGTGTACTCGAAATACACGTTTATGAGTCTTTTTGCTTGTTTTTATTTTGCTTAAATCAGTTGGGTTGGGGTTCCGTTATCTGCAACTGAGTGCATCCTAATAGACTGCCTTCCTCCAGCTGCTTTCACTTCTTTTGCATTAATGCAGCCCAGTCACCTTTGGTTCCTCCCTCTCCCCTTTCCTCAATTCAAGAACAAATAGACACACCACTATGTATAAAACAGAATAAGATGGGTAGCAGGGTTATTTGGATTCATGGCTTGTTGAGATTCCATGCCCAAAGAATATTGATTAATGAATCAATGTCAATCTGGAGGGAAGTCCTGTCCTGTTCAACATTTTAATCAATGACTTGGATGAAATAGGAGACATGCTTAGTAAGTCTCAGATGACACGAGGCTGGAGGAATTGCTAATATAACAGATGGCGGAATCAAGATTCAAAATTATTTTGACTGACTTGAACAGTAATAAGGATAAATAAAAACTCTTGTGTCTAGGCCCAGTAAATCAATTGTATAAGCAGCGTCTGGAAGGGCCCATAGCTACTTAGAACCTGAAGTTGACCATAAGCTCATGTTGAGTCTAAAGTTGAGACAATTAATTAGTAACACAGTGAACGCAGTTTTCAAATATTTAAAAACTGCTGTGAAGAAGAGACACTAATTTTGCCTTTACTTTCCCAGTAGGATAAAGAACCAGAATTTCCTGGGAAACAGTCTTTGGTTAATTGAAACTTTTTTTGATGGTTCCAGTAACAGAATAGACTACCTTCAAAAACTGTGAATGTAATAGCAATTATACCAGAATATAATAGCAAGGATTCCATTGTGGTGGTTTTCCTTTGAGAGCACAGATTTTAAAAATGAATCTCTTTAACAGCTCATGAGTCAGTTATACACATACAAGCATCCAGAGGAAAAAGTGAGGTGATAAAGTAGCCTTGCTCAGCACCCTCGTTATATCCACTACAAGTGACCAAGGGGGCCTCATCTAGAAGAAAGGCCCAGAATTTGGCCTGGGCACTGATGGGCCCCATCTTCCCTTATTCCACTTGTGAGCCTCCTCCTCAGCTCCTGGTCTTCAGTTTGGCTCCAGCTTGGCCTGTCCTTTTGTCCCCTCCTGCCTTCCAGCTTGGCTCTCTATTTTTTTTTTTTTTTTTTTTCCTGAGACAGAGTCTTGCTCTGTTGCCAGGCTGGAGTGCAGTGGCGCAGTCTCAGCTCACTGCAACCTCTGCCTCCCGGTTCAAGTGATCATTCCGCCTCAGCCTCCCGAGTAGCTGGGACTAGAGGCATGTGCCACCACACCGGGCTAATTTTTGTATTTTTAGTAGAGATGGGGTTTCACCATGTTGGCCAGGATGGTCTCAATCTCTTGACCCTGTGATCTGTCCGCCTTGGCCTCCCAAAGTGCTGGGATTACAGGGTGTGAGCCACCGCGCCTGGCCTCCAGTGTGGCTCTTTTTTCTGGCTCACACCTGCCTCCCTCTGTGTAGCAGCTCCAAGTCAGAAATCAGGAAGCCATAACTCTCTCCCAATCCCTGCCCTTTGGGCCTGACTGGACCTCTGTAGCTTCCTCCAGCCAGACCTGGCTTCACGGTCTACCCCAGACAGTGAAGGTGCAGACACAATGTGTCTTTCTGTTGTGGTGGTTGTTCTCAACATTCCATTTCACTTGCTAACCCGGAGAGCAGGAGAAGCTGAACAATGACCCTATTTCATCTTCTAAGCTTAGAATGTGATATTAGCGAGTTATTAAAAATAAGTTTCGCTTCCACAAACACAAAATCAATTGTCCTATGGATATCCCATGGACAACTAGACCCAATTTGTACTCACATGTTTCTCCTTAAAAAGGTCCACTTCTCTCAGAAGCTTCTCTTGGCAGTCGGGGTGGGTGGCCAGTAGGTAGGTGGCAAAAGAAAGTGTGTTGGTGACGATTTCATAGCCAGCGATGAGGAATATGAAGGCCTGGCCCACAATCTCATCCACCGTCAAAGGCCTGGCCAAGGCTCTGGGCTGGTGTTGCCGGGAAGGGTTCGGCTTGCACTCGATAAAGGAGAAGACGTCTCTGACAATGTCAAAGTCTTGCACGTCCACGGGACTTGCAGAATGTCGGGCATCCAGGACCATTTGGAGGAAGTCTCTCCGCCTCTAAGGGACACAAGCAGAAAAATGCACATTTTGGCCTTGCAGTCAGTCATTAACAGTGAGGCTTCTTGGAGAACAAAGGAGGAAGGTGTAGCTTTTGAAATGCTCAGTATGTACCAAGGTTCCTCGCTGCTGAGTTATCTGGGATGGTGAGAACCTGGAAGCCACCTGAATGTCCCTCAGTATAGTACTCGTCAGGCAGATTCTGGGGCAGTGAAGAGCAGTGTAGGATGCTGCCCTGAGCAAGGCAGAGGCCATTCTATCCAGGCTGATTTGAAAGTCATTGAGCCGCTTTGTTAAGTAAAACAAAGCAACACTTTGGGAGGCTGAGGAGAGGATCACAAGTCAGGAGTTCAAGACCAGCCTGGCCAACATAGTGAAACCCTGTCTCTAATAAAAATACACACACACAAAATTAGCCAGGAGTGTTGGCGCATGCCTGTAGTCCTAGCTACCTGGGAGGCTGAGGCAGGAGAATCACTTGAACCCAGAAGGTAGAGGCTGCAGCGAGCTATCGCGCCACTGCACTCCAGCCTGGGTGACATAGCAAGACTCTGTCTTAAAATAAAAATAAAATAAGAACCAAAGCAGGTCATGGAACAGTATGCACAGTGGCTCTCATTTCTGCAAAAACAGCAAATGTACTATATATATGATCATGTATATCTGTCTATGCATAGAGAATTTTTAGCAACGTCCCCACCCAACGGGTTCACAATGAGCTGGAGGAGGTGGGAACACCAGGAGGGGGGCTTTTATATTTTACTTTATACATTTTTGTACTGTTGGTTGGTGGTTCATTTTCGAACAATAAAACAATGAAAACATCATATAGATTGAAAACCAAGCACGTGCTATACTGCTCACTTACATGCAACATAGGGCTTGGATGGGCAGCCACAAGTTTTCCTCACATGGTAGAAAGTTAATAAAGGTGGGGGCGAGGGGAGGGAACTAGCCTGCTGACACCTGTCTTCAGTCTCTAGGCTTTGTCTTCATATCAGATCTTCACATTGCTTCCCTCTTTTTCTGCATAATCCCCTGCCCCCATTTAAGTAGAGCTTTCTTCCCCCACCCTCTTTATCAGTCATTTGCATATCTTTATATTTTCACTATTACTAATTGTAACAATAGGAGTGTTTCTAAACTTCTTCTGTGTTAACAGAGCATATTCCTAGAATATCCTTCTTTGAAATGCTCTTTGATGTCATGCAGGACAACAGGCACATTTCTGTTTTCTAAAGTTTATGGGACTAAAATGGCAAAAGGAGAGTATCAGAACCACCAACAGGAAAATCTTAGAATTTCATTCACAGTATTGTGCTAGTGGCAGCATTTTCTCAATTCATTGGCTTCTGAATTTCAATTGCATTCATAATCTATGCCACACACCTGAGCGTCTGATTCCATCTTTTAAGACTTGTCGTTTCACATGTGGTTGCTTTTTCTCCTCCTGGGCGGGACCCCACCCTCAACACCATGCCTAGTTTTGTGCTGAGCACATATGAGGTGTGCAATCCATGACTCAACAGATAAAAACGTAATGCAGTATGTGCATTGGAGGAAGGGTGTGTTGAGTTTGATGACAGACGCATGCTATTTGAGCGGGAGTCTTGGATGCTGGCACCTTTGCAGCTCTACTGCACCCGAGCCTTGTGATTTTGGATGGTGCCTACTGGGATCCTAGCAGTGCTCAAGGTGAAGGCTATGGGTACCACAGACCTTGATGCTAAGGAAGCAAGTCCTCAGCTTCCCATCAGCCTGCTGGGTTGTCATAGCTGAGAAAATGGTGAAGGGTTGGGGGTAGTTGCTGGCCTCATTCCACCCAGGCCCTGCTCATTCTGACGTTCAAATGGCATTCTCAAGGGTTGGCTTTCCCCAGTTTTCATCCTGCTGCTTGGTCAACATCTGGATGGCTGGTGTGGTCCCACTGCTGGCCCTGCTCCCATGGAGCAGAGCTGGGGCAGAGTTGGGCAAGATGGCACACAGGGCAAATGAGCATCCTCTGCTCCCTCAGTTCTGGGACAGCAGCACAGGACCCCAGAGCATGCCCAGACCTCTCAGCCAGTCCCTCTGAAACTCCTCAGGGTGTGATACCGTTCTGGTCCCTGAGGCTTGGCTGTGGCTTTGCTGAGGTGGTATAGGGGTAATGATGGGAAGGAGGGCACAGCCACCTCTACACCAGGTATTTTTTTTTGAAACAGAGTCTTGCTGTGTTTCCAGGCCAGAGTGCAGTGGTGCGATCTCAGCTCACTGCAACCTCCGCCTCCTAGGTTCAAACAATTCTCCTGCCTCAGCCTCCCAAGTAGCTGAGATTACAGGCATAAGCCATCATACCTGACTAATTTTTGTACTTTTAGTAGAGATGGGGTTTCTCCATGTTGGTCAGACTGGTCTCAAATTTCTGACTTAGTGATCCACCTGCCTCAGCCTCCCAAAGCGCTGGGATTACAGGCGTGAGCCACTGCACCTGGCTTACACCAGGCATTTTTCTATTGGCAAAACAGCAGCCAGCATCCTTTCCTTTTATTCCAGCCCAGACAGGCTGCTAAAGGGCTGTCAGAGTCTTGCAGAAATCTGTCTTAACTTCCAACTACAGAGGCCAGAGGAAAGGCCACTCTCTAGGGCCTGTGCGCTGGAGAGGAACATTAGTGTGGATGGGTTTCTTTTATTCACACTGCATCAGAGAGGCTATCTGAACACTGCCCACTGAGGACTGAAATGGTGCTGGTTTATGGTCCTATCCAAGAAAAATACGCACCCTGATAGATGTAGGTGTCTAATCCACCCATCGGCTAGAGCTTAGGAAAATATTTACCTTTTAACATCTGTGCCGCATTTTCACTGCGCAAACACACATCTGCTTGATGGAATGTATACAGACTTTAGATGGTTTTAAAGCAAGTTTTCTTAGTAACCATATAGCTCTGTCTTGACATGGCTGTCCTGGATTTGTGGTTGGGAGGTTTTTCTCAGATCAACTCATTATTTGAAACAAATAGCACTAGAGTTTATAAAAGGAAAAGCTCTAGGCAATCCCAGTAATTGGATCTTTAATAACCTCTCACCTCTTAGTAAGTCATTCAGTGCAACAGTTTTAAAATTTTTAGCCTGATTCCACAGCAAGGCTAGGGAAGTGTGTGTGTGTGTGTGTGTGTGTGTGTGTGTGAGAGAGAGAGAGAGAGAGAGAGAGAGAGAGAGAGAGAGAGAGAGAGAGAGAGAATGCTCTCAAAGGGTGGCCCTTCGCAGCAATGCTGAGGGTTGAAAATGGTTCTTATTTTACTTTATTTTTTTTTGAGAAGCAGTGTCGCTCTTGTTGCCAAGGCTGGAGTGCAATGGCACGATCTCTGTTCACTGAAACCTCCGCCTCCCAGGTTCAAGTGATTCCTCTGCCTCAGCCTTTCAAGTAGCTGAGATTATAGGCATGCACCACCACACCAGGCTAATTTTATATTTTTAGTAGAGATGGGGTTTCTCCATGTTTGTCAGGTTGGTCTCGAACTCCTGACCTCAGGTGATCCACCCGCCTCAGCCTCCCAAAGTGCTAGGATTATGGGTGTGAGCCACCATGCCCAGCCAAAAATGGTTCTTTCTTTATCCCTCCTCCTCCTGGCTGCATCCTCAGTCTGCTGAGAAGCATGAACCTGGATCAGAATGTTCTGTCCTTTTAGGCCTCAGAGCTGGGCAGCGATACCAGTCAGCTGCCTTCATCCCACACCTCCAAGGGTATGTGAGTTGAGTTCACAGTGGTGTGAGCTGAGGGGCTGTGAGCTTGTGTATACCTTCCGGTGCCTTCTGGATCTAGACACATTTGCTGCACAGTTCTCAGGGTGCAAAGCTGCACAGGACACGGTCGCTGCCCAAGGCAGCTCAGTGTATCAAGCCACTAATTGACCCCTGATTTCGTTCCAGGCCAATGCCTTAACAATTGGACCTCGCCAATTCCTCTGAGCCACCCACCCAGTCTTTGAAATAACCCTTTTAAACTTGCATCTTGCGCGAGTCAGCCAAGGAAAAGCCATTTCAGCCCTGTTTTTCCTTTTTAGTAACTTTCTTTAATGCCAGAAGGCCCTTAAAGCACAGATTTACACATGCATACGCACATCCAGTATTGAAATGACCTTTCTTCCCACAAAAAACTCCTCTATTTTTAGCCAGGTCAATCAACAAATATTTACTCGTTTCCTACTATGTGCCAAGCAACGTGCAGATCCGCAAGGAGGAAAGAACATGCTGGGTCTCACATGAATCGTGCTAAGGAGTCCAGTGGGCCCTCAACCACGAATTTTGTAGCAACATCCTCAGTGCTGAGTGGGAGTGCGGGGTTGACTGACAGCTGCCGACCTGTCTAATAAGCATGCTGTTCATGCTGGAAAACTCCATCTTGCTGGGTTTTCAATATAAAGAATATGCTCATGAAAATTGCATGTGGGCACATTCACCTAGAAAATTCTTCTGGGCTGCTCTCACCTGTGCTTGGGGTGATGCTGGCACTAGAGAGTGAGTTTTGGGGGTGGCTTTAATTCTACCTGTCCGTGTCAGAGGACGTACACATTGCTCTAGGCTTCTCCTCTCTGCTCCCACCCTCCCTGTCTTGTCTGACCTTCCCCAACCTTCCTCTGTTCTCTCCACTGTCCCTGGAAGCCGTAAGTGGTGGACTGCTGAAGGACAGCATGGCGTGATGTGCGGGGTTGGGAGGGAAGAGGAAGAACAGAGACAGTGATGCCGGAGTCGGCTCCATTCCATTTCAAGGCTGTGTCCTATTAAAATACGTTACCTCTTCGGCAGCTTGCTGGTCCCGCAAGGCAATCACATTCCTAATGAGTTTGTTAAAAAAGCCATTCAGTTCATCTCGGTTCTTATTGGGCAAAATCCGGGCCAGTGGGACCATTATGGATGGAAATGATACTTGAAAGAGAAAAACAAAAGTGGCATTGAGAAGGGGGTGATAATAAACCAGGGCCATTAGACGCCTGTTCCCAGGAAGCAAACACAGGCCTGGAATCGGAGTTTGGAGGTCTGCCCTCCCCGCCGCACTGCTGCTTCTAAGAGCAGGGGTGATGTCTAGCTCCCTTTTGGTGCTCCTCACCATTCCTGGCACATAGTAAGCACTCAATAAACATCTGTGCAATTAATCGAGTCTGCACTTCCATCTGGCCCTCCAGAGGTCAAGCTCATCCTTATAAATTAATGTTTCAGGTCCTGGGGATGAGAACCCAAGGTCTTTGTACTTCATCAGGAGAGAAAGGATTACAGGATGTTTCAAGCCTTAGCAAATGGTAGAAGCTGATTTACTTTTTACTAACTTTCTGGTCATTTGAATCTTTTTCCTCTGGATAATTGGCCCCAGTGACCTCCTGAATTGCTCCCAGGAGCCTCTGCTATGGGTGCCTCCCTTGCCAGGCCCCAGGTACAACATGGGCCCTTGCTGCCATGTGTTGGGGACTGGGCTGCCAGCATCAGGGACCCTTCACCTCCCCTGGAGAGAGGCGCTGGCTGGGTTGACCTTCTTGGTTTCCATGGTGGGTGCACCCTGCTTTGGGCTCTACAGGAACTGGGGTGGGGAGAACAGCTCCAGACACATGTGCTCTCAGAATGCACGGGCCCATTTTCAAGAGCCAAAGCTCGAACCAACACGACATGCAGCAGGAGGGCCCTGCAGAGGCAGAGAGGAGGAGTAGAAAGGATGGCACAACTGAGCCACCTGCCCCACGGGCCTGGGCCGTGGTCGAGGCACAAGGGGCAGACGCAGCCTGGGCAGCCTCCAGGAGTGGCAGAAAGGGTGAAGGGAGAGACTGCTAGACACTCAGTGGCTCTGCCCATGATTTCAGGGCAGAGCTGGTAGGGGCAACAGGGGCTCCCATGGACATTGGCTCAGAAATGGGAATGAAACTGGTCAAGGAATGAATGGAATTTGCCAGCCCAGCAGAATGGCTAGAATCATGGCAATAATCAGTAACAATCATAACAACACGTCAATGCTCCCATAAAAGCAAGAAGATACTAGAATTGGCCAGAGGCCAAAACCTCACATCTACAATTAAAATAAAATGAAGAGACTGGTCCCCGTAGCAATGGGTAGCCAACAACTCAACCACCACACAGGATTTCTATGTGTTGGGCTTCAAGTGGAGAGGTCTTTTGGAGAGGATTTTGGTGAAGGAAAGAAATATGCCCTAGGAAATGAAAGGCTTTGGGTTCCAGTCTCAGCTCAGCCTTTCTTGGTCTGTTTTGTCACCTGAGAAATGGGGACAAGAATATTTTTCTCATGGGGTGATTACCGGGACTAAGCGAGGCAATGCATACCCAGTGCCTAATATGGTATGTCCCTACTGTTCTGACCATGGCGGTGGGGCCACTTATTGCCAATGCCAGGGTTACGTACGGCATTGACAAGAGGAAACTGGTGGCTCCATAAGACAAAGCCTCTGCAGGGGAACACCCCAAGTCCCTTTCCCAGTGGCAGGCGCAGAGCCCCAAAAGCCGCCCTAGGTGTCATGGGGTCTGCCCAATTTACTAGGGTCATTGTACCTCCCTGGGCTGTAGCTGCACTTACAGAGTAAAACCAGGATAGGTCTAGGGATGCAGAATTCGAAGAAACGCTTGCAGTGTTTCACAAAGGGATCCTCAGGGGCCTGCTGGGAGTCCACCGGGGTGCCGAAGGCGACACTGGCAACCACATCTGTGGTGTAACGGCAGTAGCACCTACGGCAGATGGGAACACAGGGATTTGAAAGGACTCTAGCAGGGGCTACTTGCAATGTCCCCTCCAGAGGATCTGCCTACACTGGCTCGCCTCACCCTGCAGATGTGCCCAGCAGAGGAGCTTCTGCAGATCTGTGGTGAGGTGGAGGGAGAGGGGACACTCTGAGCAGCGACAGCAGAGCGCAGAAGAAGACACAAAGACCTGGCTGCCAGTTCGTCTAAACAAAGACCCGGGAGAGGAGGAGGGCACTGCCTCTTCCACCTTCGGGCTTCAGGCAGCTGTGGCCAACCAGAACACAGCCAAGTACTGAGAAGGACACTTTACATTTTCCTCTCTGGGAAGGAGAGCAGACAGGTGATCCAATGCCTATATGCTTTACCCAAAGCTCTGCACGGTCCAGCTCAGGCCAGAATCTAATGATTAATTGATAGACATCAAATTGTCATTCATGGATTAACAACCTAATTATCTAGTTTTATTAACTTTGTCTCCCTCTTCCTCTTAATGATTTTATAGTTTTCTTAACAGCAACAAACAAAAAGCAAGGGCTCTTCACAGTCAAATAAATACAGGACAAACTTTAAGGCAGGCTTCATGAACATCGTATATTATTACAGAAAACACACACCGCACTTTAGAAATAAACAGAAGGAAACGTGTCTGCCAGGAGCTCCAGAAAATGTAACCTCTTAGGCTATAGGAAACCTGTCCCCCAAAAGGCCATTTTAAACTCGAATTATTCCTTTCTGTTATCTTATAGAAGTCATTAGATTCAATTCTTTTCCAAAAAGCTAAAAACTGGGTTATTAATATCTTTTTATAATTAAAAGGCCTATTTTTGTTCTCAATGTAGGCACACACTTAACTCCTCTTGTACATAAGCTCTATAACCACTAAGTTATCATGAAGGAATACATGACATTTCCAGATGACTTTTTCAATTCTGAATGCTTTTATTGAAAACATTTCTACAACTGATTGCACATTTCCCTGCTAGAGTGAAAAGAAGAATGAGACTACTGACTGACTTCATCTGATCTTGATGGTTGAAGATTTAAGGGTCTTAAGGGCTATTTACTTTACTTTTATAGCTGATGAGGCCACCTTATTTTTAGCCAACTCACACATCCTAAAATAATCAGAGAAAATGTGGATGAAAAGACTGTGTAAACTGGTGCAATACCAGTGTTGGTGATGATTATGTTATTATTTTATTAGCAATGATAATAATGAGTCCATTTCTGGCTGATTCACCATCCCACTTTATTTTTTATCTGCTGTAAGCCATGATTTGGCATAAAATGACTAAAGCAAAAGGTGGCCAGTCTCTTGGCTTGCCTGGGCCACAATGGAAGAAGGAGAATTGTCTTGGGCCACACATAAAATACAGTAACATTAATGATAGCTGATGAGAAAAGGAAACTCACAAAAAAAAACTCACAATGTTTTAAGAAAGTTTACAAATTTGTGTTGGACTGCATTAATGCTGCCCTAGGCTGCTTGTGGCCCACAGGCTGTGGGTTGGACAAGCTTAAACTAAAGGTTTTTTTTTTTTTTTTTTTTTTAAATAAAAACCTTTTAGTTATAAAATGATGAAAAGCCAGATAATCAGTTATTTAAATTTGGTGTCCACCATTAAGTCATGGCTTCTGGGCTGAGGTGCATGACAATTTTTCTTGACATGAAAATGCCAGAACCCTCTTTCGCCTGGGCCCTGTCCCTCCCAGGCCTGTCCTGCTTGTGTCTGGTTCTGTGGAGGTCAGAGGGTGGATCTATCCACAGATTCAACAGGCCGCACGTCCCCCGGCTCTGCTCACATTTCTTTCCCATGTCAAGTGGGTTTCTTTTCTTATTAGACAGTCCATCCATGCTTTTATGAGCTTCTAGCGTTTCCACAGTTTGCTAGTCCCAAGGTAATTGTCCAGCAATTATGGACAGTTACAAGAAGCAGCAATTCAAAAATGCGATTTCTCATCTGTAATGCAGCAGCCTTACCTCTGGATGTCGAATGCGTCCCCAGAATCTCCATAGCGTTTTAAATGAGCCAGGAGAAGGTCGCAGGCTTGGCTGATGAGGGGAGCCATCTGATAATGGATAACAAAGGTGTAATTAGGGCACCATGCCGGGAGTACACCTAAATTGGCTGCAGATGAAGAGGTTATATGTGGTGCTTTCTGGGAAAATGAACACTGTTTGGAAGATATTTTTCACAGGGCTAAGATTCAAGAGGAAGATCCTAAAATATTCGTAAAATATTCATATTCACAAAATACAATAGCTTTAAACATCTATTTTAGCTTAAGCATTTTTTATCTTTGGAAACAAAAAAGAAGAACAGATTTACAGTGAATACAGTGAAATAATTATGAAAATGATTATTAAGTGCTTAGACAAAACTGAGAATCAGTACTCAGTTTCATGACATTTGGTTAGCATTAGTGAGTAGAGCCCAATCCATGTGCACTGTCTCTGGAATTAAGCCAAGTCTACGCTTGTTTGTTCCAACTGTATTTTAGATCTTTCACTAGAATATTGAATCTCAGTATCCAAAGGAACCTAAGGTCATTCATTTCAACTTCTTATTTAACACAGAAATTATTTATAGAGCATTTCTGATGGATGGTTATTCATTTGTGCTTAAGCCACTGAGCTTTCAAATACGGGGAAACCCTTGAGTTCAAGATGCCGCCTATGCCCACACAGAGTAATTGTTGAGTTTCTTTTTTTTTTTAATAGGAAATTACTTTTATGATAAAAATTTTCTAACCTACACAGAGAGGTAGAATGGTATAATGAAGATTCACATAGATAGCACTCAGCTTCAACAAATGGGTGGGTGGAATTCTTTGTGGAGCCTGCTGGGCACCCATGTGACCTTTTATTCTCTTTTGCATGATTAAAAGGCCAAGCTGAAAATATCGAGCAGAATTATTTTACTCGGTGCCCATTCTAGAATAGCATCATAGCTAAAGCAACGTGCTCTAATACATCGTTCTGAGCATTCCTCACAAAAGACATAAAATGTAACCTATGTTTAGATTTTGTGATTTTGACACGAGAATATTGAGTTCTTGAGGTCAGGGAGATTTTAGTCTGGTTTTTTTTTTTTTTTTTTTTTTAATTTTTATAATTCCAGCACCTAGAACAGCATCTGGCACATAGTAATTATTTGTTAAGTGAATGGACAAATAATTGAACTGTACTGATTGTGTAATACCCACTCTTTCCTTTTAAAGTCTTGAGGCACTAGGAAAAGTTGTAAAATTAATCTGCTTGTAAGAAGGTATGTTATTGTACTGAGGCAAAATCTGACTTCACCTAACAATCTTTTGCTGGTTTAATCTCTCTTCTCTTCTTTGTGACAGTGTACCCAACACTCAGACCACAAGTGCCTATCCGCTCCCCATCTTCTTGTAGACAACTGTTCCCCATCTGTTCCACAGGGGCTTGCATATGCCTCTCCTGCCTTACTGGTCTCTTCTTTATCAGGGTCACTCCTAAAGGTGGCCTAAGTGGATCACACTATTTCAGGTATGGATGGTATATGGTAAATGAATCACTTCCTGAGATCTGTACCCTACACGTCAATCGCAACACCAGGTTTACACTGACTTTTTTGAGAAGACAGTGCAGGCAAATATTTGAGGTTCAGGTTAATGAAAACTGCATTTTTTTCCATGAATGATAACCATGTACAATTGCTATTTTGATTTTTTTAGGGATCATTCATCAGAAAGGCTTTAGTTGCTTCTCTGCTTTGTGTTCTGAGCAGAACAATCTCTTAACTTCTCTGGAACATTCTGATGGCTGGAGACATCTGGTAGAGTGGGCAGCTGGGCGGCTACTGGTGGGATGTTGGGAAGATATGCAATTTTATAGGACCCCTTCCCTCTGCAGCTTCCTCCGAGTCAGATCCACATGCTCTGGGTGTAAGGAAAGAATTGTGTCACCGGGGATCCAACTCCTCTGCTGAAGGAGTGGATCCTGTAGATTGAGGGTGAAGGGGTTCTGTAAATCAGAGCTGAATTGGCTCCATGAAGGCTGCCATGTGGAGGCCATAACCAAGGAAGGGACAGTGGCCTGGACAGCACTATGGACAGCTGAACAACAGCTCAAGGAGCAGAACGTTCAGAGCGTAACACACCCAAGTGGGGAGATGATAGAGAATCTGAGACCTATGAGTCCCCTGTGGCCAAGGCTCATGGAGGGAGGGCCACTTTGGGAAAATGGATTTGCTGTTCATAAAGCCACAGGGCTTAGAGTGCTGGGGTGTTTGAACACTGTGGGAGAACAAGAGATATACTCGCTCATTAAAATCCCGTCACCTGGCCCGGAGCGTGGCTCATGTCTGTAATCCCAGCACTTTGGGAAGCCAAGGCAGGTGGATCACTTGAGGTCAGGAGTTTGAAACCAGCCTGGCCAACAGAGAGAAACCCATCTCTACAAAAAATATAAAAATTAGCTGGGTGTGGTGGCAGGAGCCTGTAATCCCAGCTACTCAGGAGGCTAAGGCAGGAGAATCACCTGATCCTGGGAGGTAGAGGTTGCAGATTGCACCATTGTATTCCAGCCTGGGTGACAAAGACTCTGTCTCAAAAAAAAAAAAAATCCCGTCACCTGCAACACTGGCTATTCTTTCTTTGTTCTATGTGAAATTTAGTAAGTGTGCCTTCTAAGCCTTCCTTCGGTTCGTCGGTCTGTAGACAGGCCTGGGTGCTGCTGGTGTGGCCCTCCACTAGACAGCTATTTTAGGTAGCCACAGAATCATGCATCATCACTGTTTTTGGCTCTTGGCCTACCTGTACCTGAACCTAAGTAAATACTCAGCCAGGCACCACTTTACCAATGAGTCAGCTGGGGAAGACTGTCAAATGATTTGCAGAAAGAGAAATGTGATTTACCTCACCTACTTATCTAGAAGTCGACTCAAAAAAGAAAAATAAGTATGACTGTCTTGATTTATTCTTAGTATCTTTATGTTGATGCTTCATGACTACTGCATGCTTTTAAAAATTCTCACAAATCATTCACTTAATAATCCATCAGTACAAAAGGGCATATAAATGGGTCACTTAAAATGGCCTCTGGGCCCCAACTTCCAAGAAGTCTCAGGCTACCCTTAATGTTGGAGAAGTCAGTAGAGTTTAAGCCACATTTTTATGACTAATATGACTAGCTTTACCAGCTATCTTCCTTCAATTATCTTAATAAGTGCAGCAGTACAAGTGAACCCTAGTTTAACAAAATTCCTTTTGGATTTATTTCGGAGGAATAGTAGCATGATATATATATATATATATAGACACACACTGTTTGAAAGAAAGTCTCTTTAGATATCAAGCTTGAAGCTTTCTTAACAGAACAAAAGAGATGCAACATAAAATGTGATTTACACACAACTCTTCAGAGCCATGCCCTGTGTATAAAGAAGGGTCCACTCATTCTGAATCCAAACATATTCCTGGACAGTGCAAAAGGGAGCTCAGGCCAGCTGCCCACCATCAGGTCTTTTACGTGCTTTTGACTAGAATCCTTTGTTGCTGCCTGGCGTGACTGTAATTTTCTGCTATACTCTGCCTGCTGTCTGTTGAACTGAATGGATAATGACATTTTTATTTGGGTTAATGTGATATGAGATGGGGCATGTAATATGAAAAATGTTTTAAAAAGCAATGCAGAGAAAATATTATAAGACAGCGGAGCATAATCTGTATGTTGGCCAATAGCCATCATTTCAGGTTTTCTTCTTTGCATTTTACACAGCAGTTATGGAATATTTACTTTTACATGAGTTGCATACAAACAAAAGCTCTCTTTGATGGGCTTGCATAATCTTTATACAATCCACAAACCCTGCAGTTCTCCTAGATTTCTGAACAAGCAGGCAAATGTGGCATGTGCACACACACACACACACAGATGAATACACAATGCTATTATCACTCAGATCTTACTAAGAGACTCATTTGCTTGTTACATTTCATCTTCCTCATGGGATAATGAATGATTTTTATTTTTGTTTTATTCCAAATTTTTCACAATGCACATGTATTACACTTATAATCAGATAAAATATTAATGTTATTAGGTTTTTAAAAAGTGATTTATTACAAAAAAGAAAAGAAAAGTGGCTTATGGGTATTCTTACAGACTGAATGTTTGGGTCACTTTGAAATTCATACATTGAAGCCCCAACTCCCAGTGGGGCTGTATTTGGAGATAGGGCTTCTACGAAGTAATTTAAGTTAAATAAAGTCACAAGGATGGGGCCCTGATCCAACAGCATTGGTGTCCTTATAAGAAGAGACACTAGAACACTTATGCTTATTCTCTCTCCCTCTCCCTCTATATCTCTCTCATGCACAAAGAACAGGTCTTATGAGCACACAGCAAGATGGTGGCTACCTACAAATCAGAAAATGAGGCCTCACTGGAAACCAACAACGCTGGTATCCAGCCTCCAAAACTGTGGGAAAATACATGTCTGGGCTGGGCACAGTGGCTCATGCCTGTGATCCCAGCACTTTGGGAGGCCAAGGCAGGCAGATCACTTGAGCTCAGGAGTTCAAGAGCAGCCTGGCCAACATGGTGAAACCCCATCTCTACTAAAAATACAAAAACCCCACCTGGTGGCAGGTGCCTGTAATCCTAGCTACTCAGGAGTCTGTGGCAGAAGAATTGCTTGAACCTGGGAGGTGGAGATTGCAGTGAGCCAAGATCATGCCACTGCACTCCAGCCTAGGCAACAGAGCAAGAGTGTCTTTAAAAAAAAAAATGTGGGTTGTTTAAGTCCCCCACTCAATGGTATTTGGTTGTGACAGCCCAAGCTGACTAACACAGGGCTAACAGTTCAGCAGCCAAACTAGGGGAGAAAGTTTCCCATTTTGTTCCTCTCACCTCTCACACTGGTTGTCCCTATTAGAGGTGATGCTGAGTGTGAGGCTGAGCAGCTCTCTGGTAACCAGTGGTAACCATTCAGGGGAAATCACCATCCCCAGCCTGGAAAGGAAATTCTCCAAGGAAGAAAGGTTCTACATAACCTGGAGATTATGATATAATTAAAGTACCCAGTTTTTAAATATTT